AATAGAAAAAAAACGCATTTGAATGTGAATGTGTCATATTGTTGCAGCTGATCGAGGGATGAATCCATGAGTAGCATAATGAAGTTGCTGAAGTTGCTCAGAAGGTACATGTCGCCTGAAGCCTGAAGCCTGAATCCAGCTTGGATCACCTGACATTGTTGGAACATATCTTCCTCTGGTGGTCAACCTCTGAAACTGCAACGATAATAAATCCTGCACACTATAGTATTGCAAGTAAATTATATCCAGACTGTTCTGAACATCTCTGCTTCATACATTCAGCACATTGCACACAAACTTAGTTTTGTTGTAAATTTGGTTGTATAAACCCTCCGTGTGCAGTTATATTAGGAACACCCTAGTTAAAACTATTGCAGTCCAACACACAGTCCTGCAGTGAACACCCCTTCATGGTTTATAATGTTGTTTGTTATTCACCAGAGAGGTTGTTTTCTGTTATTTAGCTTACCCTCACTGATGTCACTGGCTGGATAAATGAATAATAACACCTGTATAACACTATAGCAATTTAACAGCACCGACAAACTACAGCCTCTAAAGTGGCCATACAGTTGAATTTCTGAACACACACGTGACAACATTACATCCTTCCTTATGGCAGAACTGTTGTTTTAGCCTGACTTAGTGTAAGCGAGGTGTAGCCTATTAAACTGCCAACTCAGTGTATTTGTCATTGTTGTATCTATATGCCTTTGTAATATTGTGTGTTTATAATTTTGTTATTAAACTTTTTAAAGTTTTACCTCCGCTCAAACATATGTTGTATTTTATGTGACTTCACTTGACTGTTCGAGCTTCGCTTATCTGCAGATGTTTTCACCTTCATCTGAGTTTTCTCTTTCACACTGAATCTCAGTTTCACATGTGCAGCTACCAGAGGGATTTTTATAACAGTACGACTTGTTTTAGAACGTCAATCCAGTACACAATTTACACAAGAAGGCTTTGACGAGTGTAACCTTAAGAACAGGACGCATACAGTGGGAGTGGACTTTTCAGTAGTATAAGACATAAAATGATGATATTTGCATAGATTCTGGATTTTATGACGCAGTAAAAAATGAGTGTTTTATAATAGGAATTTTGATAAAATGATTTAACTTTTTTGAGGTACAAAAATATCAGTACACAAATTATTATTCAAAGCAGAGGGTTTTTATATATATAAAACTTGCCGGAGAGCAGATCTTTAAGTTACTGTAAAACTTTTTTGCCTTCTTACTTTTATATTATTGTGCCGCTATACCTGCAATAAAACATTGTACACATATACCCCCAAATTTATGTGAAAGATTGAATGTACCAGCTTGGATGACTGCTATTGATAAATTAGTGCCAATTTAAGTCTCATCTTGCATCTTCATCTGGTTTGTTTTTTCCTAAATATCTGCTTTGAATATTACAGCATAAAACCACACCAGCACAACAGACAAGACTCTTCCATCGCTGCGCCTAACACTGACATGTGGGAAAATTTTAGTTGTTTGTTGCTGTGGCCCACCAGGTTGTAGACTGTCTTTGACTTCTGTCGCATGATCAGGGGGGACGCGCTGACGATAAGGGCCCCGGCCGGGCTCCGGAGACGCTGAAGCTGGACGAATCTGGGAGTGAGGGATGAGGGGAAAGAAAGCCATGTAGTGTGTTTCAGCTCTCAGAGAATTTCACTGTGTTTTGTGTTCCCACTCAGAGAAAAGTCCATCTGCCTCTGATTAAGCCATATCCTCTTCCTCCTGAGCTTGAAAATAGTTGATTTGGACGCTTTTTCAGAACTCTGGCAGCATAGTTCCAACCAGTGAGCATCCACAAAGTGAATAAGTTGAGTTATTTAGTGATTTGTAATATGCAAGTCCAAGAGGTCTGTGGGACCCTTGGGGGCTTCCTAATGGGGAACCAAAAATGTGGAATAGTTTAACTTTCTCTGTTATTTAACTCTAAGTTTAATGACTCCTTTCATCTAAGAACCTTTGGCCTTGCCTTAGAAAACAGATGATTATGTAAATTTTTATATGAATTAGTACAAAGTAGGATTGGGTCCTTCTTGCCAAAAAATCTAATCAGGTCAAGTGATCTAGCACTTTCCATACGTTAGAGATCCCCCTGACATACAAAACTGAAAAAACTTTGAGTTCATGTCCTGATCCAGGACAGATAGCCAAAAGTTTATCCAGTGAACACAGACTATAAAGATGTAGATCCATACACAACAAGCCTAAGATTCCCAAGTAGTATCCTGGAAGACAAAGAAACAAATTAATGACACCAAGAGGATATTTCCTTTAAACTAAAGCGGTGGCCTTTGCATAATGTTATGGTTTGCCCCATTACTCTCTCTAAGTCTCCAGACAGGCAGGATGGAGGACACAGAGGACGCCAAGAAGGGCTCATTGTTTTGTCGCTTCCAATATGGGATCAGCAAGAGCTCGATGGAGACTGCCTGGCGGCTGATTGTCCACCAAGCAGATTGGAACAATTCAAATGAGATGCAGATTTCCACCGTGGGCTTAACTTCAACCTACACGTCCCCTG